AGACCTTGTATGCTTCAGCTGTCAGTTGATTTATTCCCTGTGTGGGAGTTTTGTCGTTTAAGACCGTCTCCCATTGAAACTACATTATAATCTGAAGGGAAGTCTCCCATTGAATGGTGGTAAGGTCTACATTTATTTTTCCCAGTTGATCCTCTTATTGTTGAAATTGAATTGAATGAATATGCCTTCTCGCTTGTTGGGACACTTAGACCTACTACCGTTATTTATGCTAGTTCGCACTTCAATGAGCTTATGGTCTGAGTATGTATTATCAGAGATTGTAATGTCTCTGATTAGTTCATTATTGTTTGTGAATAGCAAGTCTAGTGTGTTTTCGTTCTTAGTTGGATCTGTGATCTGTTGATTGAGCGAGAATTTGTCACAGAATCTCAAAAGTTCTTTGATCTGTGGTTGGTTATTTCCCGGGTCATTCCCTGCTATGATATTTGTGTTTACCATTCTCCATCTTAGACTTGGTAAATTGAAATCTCCAAGGAAGATAATATCTTGTGCTGGGTTCGCTAGATTACCAAGGATGTTCTCTATTTTGTGCATCTGCTCTGTGAATTCCTCAACCGTTGTATCTGGCGGTTTATATATTAGAATAATAATTAGGTTAATTTTTTCTAGCTTAATTAGAAGTACCTCTAACACCTCATTAGTTGAGTTTAGTAGCTCTGTGCATACCAGGTCCTTTTTGTTTAATATACAGACCTACTCCTCCAATTGACCTATTTGCTCTATCACATCTATATAAATTATAATTTGGAATCCAGATTTAACTATCAATGTAAACTTTCGTATGAGTTTCCGTGAATGCCCCAAATATTGAGTTTGACTCAAAAAGGAGGCCATTTATGAACTTAACTTTATTTCTTGACTTTGATTTTAGACCTTGAATGTTGGCAAATATGAATGATTGTCCATATTGTGTGTCACTTCTGGAAGGTTTTAGTAGTTCTCCCTCCTCTCTACCCTGACCCAGGGTGTGTTGTTGTTGTGGCAATGGTTTGTCCAGTTTTGGAAGTAATACTGAGGAGTGTGGTAGTCTCTGTGTAGTTGGGGGGTGTAGTATGTGTGGGCTTGATGACGAAACGTAGTCCAGTCTTGAGCATTTCCCCCTCCCCATCCGTACTTTTGCTCCTGGGTAGTAGTGGGGTACAAGCAGAGGTAGTTGTGGGGTACAAGCAGGGGGTAGTGGTGAGGTACAAGAAAGGGGTACCCCGCTTGTACCCCACCACCACCTCCGCTTGTACCTCACCAATACCCCTGCTTGTACCTCACCACTACCCCCGCTTGTACCTCACAACTCCCCGCTTGTACCTCACCACTATCCCCGCTTGTACCTCACTACTACCCCCGCTTGTACCTCACAACTACCCCCCGCTTGTACCTCACCACTACCCCCGCTTGTACCTCAAGGGGTAGTGGCGAGGTACAAGCGGGGGTAGTAGTGATGTACAAGCGGGCATAGTGGTGAGGTACAAGCGGGGTAGTGGTGAGGTACAAGCGGGGGAAGTGATGAAGTACAAGCGGCGGGTAGTGGTGATGTACAAGCGGGGGGTAGTGGTGAGGTACAAGCGGGGGTAGTAGTGATGTACAAGCGGGGGTAGTGGTGAGGTACAAGCGGGGTAGTGGTGAGGTACAAGCGGGGATAGTGGTGAGGTACAAGCGGGGGTAGTGGTGAGGTACAAGCGGGGGTAGTGGTGAGGTACAAGCGGGGGTAGTGGTGAGGTACAAGCGGGGGTAGTGGTGAGGTACAAGCGGGGGTAGTGGTGATGTACAAGCGGGGGTAGTGATGAAGTACAAGCGGCGGGTAGTGGTGATGTACAAGCGGGGGGTAGTGGTGAGGTACAAGCGGGGGTAGTAGTGAGGTTCAAGCGGGGATAGTGGTGATGTACAAGCGGGGGGTAGTGGTGATGTACAAGCGGGGGGGGGGTAGTGGTGAGGTACAAGCGGGGGTAGTGGTGAGGTACAAGCGGGGGTAGTGGTGAGGTTCAAGCGGGGGTAGTAGTGAGGTTCAAGCGGGGATAGTGGTGATGTACAAGCGGGGGAGTAGTGGTGAGGTACAAGCGGGGGGGTAGTGGTGAGGTACAAGTGGGGGGTAGTGGTGAGGTACAAGCGGGGGTTAGGCTGGGGTGCAAGCGGGGGGTAGTGGTGAGGTTCAAGCGGGGGTAGTAGTGAGGTTCAAGCGGGGATAGTGGTGATGTACAAGCGGGGGGGGTAGTGGTGATGTACAAGCGGGGGTAGTGGTGAGGTACAAGCGGGGGTAGTAGTGGGGTACAAACGGGGGGTAGAGGTGAGGTGAAGCGGGGGGTAGTGGTGAGGTACTGGCCGGGGGGGGGGGCGGAGGGACCCAACATATACCAGTAACCGCCCAACAGCGTCCGTCTTGTCATTGTTTTCCTGCTGTCTATGTTGTGACTGGGAGCACCTAGCATGGCAGTTACATTATATGTTTCCGAAGCTGTGTGTTGCTGAAGCTTTCTGTTGCTGAAGCTTTCTGTTGCTGAAGCTGTGTTTTAAAGAACCTGTGTGTTGGTGAAGCTGTGTGTTGCTGAGAACAAACTGACCCGCCGCCCAGTACCCTCCACCTGGAGTATACAAGTCTCATCCATGCCCAGTTCTCCCAGCAACAATGATCTTTGTGTCCCCAAACATGCTTGACACAAGTGTGTGTCTGTGGCAGGTGTGTTGACCTCACAAGTGTGTCTGTGGCAGGTGTGTTGACCTCACAAGTGTGTCTGTGGCAGGTGTGTTGACCTCACAAGTGTGTCTGTGGCAGGTGTGTTGATCTCACAAGTGTGTCTGTGGCAGGTGTGTTGACGTCACAAGTGTGTGTGTGGCAGGTGTGTTGACCTCACAAGTGTGTCTGTGGCAGGTGTGTTGACCTCACAAGTGTGTCTGTGGCAGGTGTGTTGACCTCACAAGTGTGTCTGTGGCAGGTGTGTTGACCTCACAAGTGTGTCTGTGGCAGGTGTGTTGACCTCACAAGTGTGTCTGTGGCAGGTGTGTTGACCTCACACGTGTGTGTCTGTGGCAGGTGTGTTGACCTCACAAGTGTGTGTCTGTGGCAGGTGTGTTGACCTCACAAGTGTGTGTCTGTGGCAGGTGTGTGTTGACCTCACAAGTGTGTGTCTGTGGCAGGTGTGTGTTGACCTCACAAGTGTGTGTGTCTGTGACAGGTGTGTTGACCTCACAAGTGTGTGTCTGTGGCAGGTATGTTGACCTCACACGTGTGTGTCTGTGACAGGTATGTTGACCTCACAAGTGTGTGTCGGTGGCAGGTGTGTTGACCCCACAGGTGTGTGTCTGTGGCAGGTGTGTTGACCTCACAAGTGTGTGTCTGTGGCAGGTGTGTTGACCTCACAAGTGTGTGTGTCTGTGGCAGGTATGTTGACCTTACAAGTGTGTGTCTGTGGCAGGTGTGTTGACCTCACAGGTGTGTGTCTGTGGCAGGTGTGTTGACCTCACAAGTGTGTGTCTGTGGCAGGTGTGTTGACCTCACAAGTGTGTGTGTCTGTGGCAGGTGTGTTGACCTCGCAAGTGTGTGTCTGTGGCAAGTATGTTGACCTCACACATGTGTGTCTGTGGCAGGTGTGTTGACCTCACAAGTGTGTCTGTGGCAGGTGTGTTGACCTCGCAAGTGTGTGTCTGTGGCAAGTATGTTGACCTCACACGTGTGTATCTGTGGCAGGTGTGTTGACCTCACACATGTGTGTCTGTGGCAGGTGTGTTGACCTCACAAGTGTGTCTGTGGCAGGTGTGTTGACCTCGCAAGTGTGTGTCTGTGGCAAGTATGTTGACCTCACAAGTGTGTCTGTGGCAGGTGTGTTGACCTCACAAGTGTGTCTGTGGCAGGTGTGTTGACCTCACAGGTGTGTGTCTGTGGCAGGTGTGTTGACCTCACAAGTGTGTCTGTGGCAGGTGTGTTGACCTCACAGGTGTGTGTCTGTGGCAGGTGTGTTGACCTCACAAGTGTGTGTCGGTGGCAGGTGTGTTGACCTCACAAGTGTGTCTGTGGCAGGTGTGTTGACCTCACAAGTGTGTCTGTGGTAGGTGTGTTGACCTCACAAGTGTGTCTGTGGCAGGTGTGTTGACCTCACAAGTGTGTCTGTGGTAGGTGTGTTGACCTCACAAGTGTGTCTGTGGCAGGTGTGTTGACCTCACAAGTGTGTCTGTGGCAGGTGTGTTGACCTCACAAGTGTGTCTGTGGCAGGTGTGTTGACGTCACAAGTGTGTGTGTGGCAGGTGTGTTGACCTCACAAGTGTGTGTCGGTGGCAGGTGTGTTGACCTCACAGGTGTGTGTCTGTGGCAGGTATGTTGACCTCACAAGTGTGTCTGTGGCAGGTGTGTTGACCTCACAGGTGTGTCTGTGGCAGGTGTGTTGACGTCACAAGTGTGTGTGTGGCAGGTGTGTTGACCTCACAGGTGTGTGTCTGTGGCAGGTGTGTTGACCTCACAGGTGTGTGTCTGTGGCAGGTGTGTTGACCCGGCCAGCTTGCGGAAAGGAAATACTTGCTAGGACTATGCAGTGTGACAGGGACGGCCTGGAGGTGTGTGACGTCACTGGGAAGCCCAAACGTATTCCTGCGCGTGCCGCTGCCAGACGCGCCTCCACCTGGCTGGAGAATAGTCACTTGTTTTCTTATGACTTTATTTAGACTATTAGAACTGATGAAATCATGTGTGATTACACTCGAATTAAAGAAAAATCCCGTGCCTCAGTGGTATTAACATTATCGCACATCGGTCAGTCCAAGTTATGGTCGGCTGACTACTGGCTCACATCAAACAATAATAAATAAATGAATGAATTAATTAATATGTAGTGTTATTTATTTACTTATTATGTTATTTAATAATTTTTTATCTATTGGGAGAAAGAAAGTAGGAAGAAAACAGTTCACTGCCGACAGAGAGACTAAGATATCGTACAGCGTTGAACGAGAATATTATCGCGCTCGTCTACTATGCGCATTTGACATGCGAAGTTCATTCAATTCGCAGACTTTATTAAGCTGCTGCCACAGAACAGTACCGACTTCACAGAAAATCCATGTCAAAGCACATATCTCCATTTACAATTTAATATATACATATATATATTTATTTATTTATATATATTATGTGGTAAAGAAATGTTATCGGTAATATATGTGTTTCTGAGCGCAGTGTCAGTGTTTGCGATGGACATGAATTGGGGAACGAGTACTCGCAGTGGTGTGATGGATTGCCAGAATTCTTGTCAGAATGATAATAAGAACGAGAGGATAACAGATCCCAGTTGTCGGTGTGATGCCGAGTGCGCTCATTATGGCGACTGTTGTCACGACGCCGTCCGCTACAACAGCCAGGGGCCAGAGAGGTACAGGTGTGTGAGTGTGGGTTATCGCAGCGTTTACATGAAGGACACGTGCATGTCAGGGTGGCAGGACGAGGAGGTAGCCCAGCTGTGCCTGGCTGGCTCCCCGGCAGATATCTCCAGCAGCAGGGACCCGCTGGCCCACCTCCCCGCCACCAGCAACACCACCTCCGTCACCTACACCAACTACTACTGCGCCATCTGCAACAACGACTCCCATCACCTCACACTCTGGAAGATGCGGTTGCAGTGTCCCTCCTTGCACGTTGATGACAAGGAAAACCCTTTAATTCATTTAAAAATGATTAACAATTCGTGGGGAGTATACTCTGAAGATAATAGTGTTTACCATGAGTGTAACATTGAAAGTGAGGCCCCGGCGGGTGTGAGGAACAGAGTGTGCAAGGCGGCGATGGACGAGTGTAGTGTAGGCTGGGCTCATCAACACACACGGCGCTTGTGTCACTCTTACACTGACCCGGTGAGCGACTATAAGATAACCTACAAAAATTTCCACTGTGCATTGTGTAACAACGTACAACCAAACCGTCTCAGATGCTATGCCTATAGTACAAAAACTACCACTACTGCTCCTTTCACGACTCCCAAGGTCAAATTCCCAAACCTAAGGACTGAATGGAAATTTAGAAGCTCACCTCCGACCCCGCCACAGTTTCAGCCTCCAATATTATCATTCACTGTACTCATAGATTTTACAGACAGCAGTGGAAGTAATGAGGTTGGCTTTATTTCAAACTGTGGACCAGATGAAATTTGGGATATATTTTTTAGAAAATGTCGAAACGTTGTGTGTGGACATAAAGAGGAGAAACACGTATCTGTTGACTGCAGCGACACCTCACAGCTATCATCTTACCATCTCACTGAGATGCCCACGACGATATCCAGTAACACTACTATCATTGAAAGCACATACAATATATCCTTCTTGCACTCGCAGCTTAATGAAAGTAAAGTGAAGTGGACCAATATTGACCTGGTAGGGAAATACATTGCAAACGTGTCTTTATCCACGATTGATAAAAACAATACTTGCTTAAAAATCACTCTCCTCCAGCATGAATATACCATAGGTGACAATGGCATTTTAATTGTCGAGAAATATGGTCGGTTGTATGACAGAGAGGAGTACGAGGTGGCTGAGGGCGGCGTCCTGGTGTGCTCGCCACAGACACCCACAGAAAAGTTCTCCCCGGTGATGGGTTGGGTCTCACTGGCGGGTCTCGGGTTGTCCTGCCTTTGTCTCCTGCTCCATCTGGCTGCCTTCTTCTTGGTGCCTCGTCTTAGGAACCTCCCGGGCAAGTCCTTGGCGTCCCTCTGCCTGTCTCTACTCACCGCCTACACCATCTTCATCTTCAGCACCTTCCTCAAGCCTAGAACGATAGGATGTTACATTTCGGCAGTCTTCATGTATTACTCCTTCCTCGCCTCCTTCTGCTGGATGAATATCATGGCCTTTGACGTGTGGCTGACATTTCAACAAGCTAAAGATGAGCTGCGAGTGTCATCTGGGAGACAGCGAAGCAAGTTCTTATTCTACTGTGTGTACGGCTGGCTGCTTCCCGCCCTCGCTGTGGTCGTCACAGTAACCCTTGATAAGACCGCCCCTGGAGGTCTTCCCTCAGAGTTCCAGCCCAACTTTGGTCAACGTTGGTGCTGGTTCGGGCAACGCAAGGCCTTAATGGTATTCTTTGCAGCTCCATTATTCGTAGTTATGGCTCTCAATGTTGTGTTTTTCCTTATTACTTCATACACCATCGGTGCCAGCAGAGAGCCGACGCTACGGAAGAGTCCGTGTTCACAAAACAAGAAACAGTTTCTGCTGTATGTGCGACTGGCCGTGTTGATGGGCCTCTCCTGGATCAGTGGCATCGTGGCTGGCTACCTGCAGCTGGAGGCCGTCTGGTACGTCTTCGTGGTCCTCAACACTCTGCAGGGAGTCTTCATCTTCTTGACCTTCACCTGCAGGAGCAAAGTGTGGCGGGCGGCTCAGAAGCTCTGGCAAAATTGTCTCCTGGAAGCTAAATTTTTTCCTAGTTCAAGCTTGCAGCAAAAAGAGAGATCCAACAGCTCTCAGATCTCAATAAAGACGGAATCGAGCAATCTGTAAACGTATTGGTGTGTCTTGTGGTTCAATAAGAATGCTGGCAGGCTGCACATCTTTACGGAACTAGCATAATGATTGGTCTGTTTGTAACATCTGCTGATGTAGACTTGACTAAATGTAAACTCTGTCAGCAGAACGATCCACATATTTTGCGTCATTATATAATTAAATGTGAAGAAATTACGGAATTCAGAGATAACACTATCAATGGATTCCCAAAAATGTGTAAATACTTAATTTATAATGATGTACTGGCAGAAATCTTAGAGAAGTTGACCACATTTGCTTACTGTAGGTACAGCCGGCACATGACTGTAAAGCTGCCGCCCAGTTGCGTGGGTGAAAAGTAAGACTATTTACTTTTTGTATTTATTTATTTATATATAAAGAGTTCTTACATTCGTGTACAGCCACAAGCACGCATAGTTTTTCGGGCAATCACACTAGTACCTGTGTGACTCATCATAGATGTAAATCTATAAAGTACCTTGTATAGAGACTGTGAGTCTTTTGCTGAATCATTTGTGATATAAAAAGATTACTGATATGTATCTGTATACATGGCTGTATATATATGTACATATGTATGTAACATTCACTATTGTGTAACTAGCTTCAAGAGATTGTCACTAGCGTAGCTAAACGAACTATGTGGTTCAGATCATTTGCCTCTGTAACCCTTTTCACCACCGCTCACAAGATGGGTATGGGGTGCATAATAAAGAAACAAATTGAAAATTTATTTATTTATATATATGTATATATATATATATATATATATATATATATATATATATATATATATATATATATATATATATATATATATATATATATATATATATATATATATATATATATATATATGTCGTACCTAGTAGCCAGAACGCACTTTTCAGCCTACTATGCAAGGCCTGATTTGCCTAATAAGCCAAGTTTTCATGAATTAATATATTTTCTCAAATTTTTTTCTTATGAAATGATAAAGCTACTTATTTCATTATGTATGAGGTAAATTTTTTTATATTGGAGTTAAAATTAACGTAGATATATGACCAAACCTAACCAACCCTACCTAACCTAACCTATCTTTATAGGTTAGGTTAGGTTAGGTAGCCGAAAAAGTTAGGTTAGGTTAGGTTAGGTAGGTTAGGTAGTCGAAAAAGAATTAATTCATGAAAACTTGGTTTATTAGGCAAATCAGGCCTTGCATAGTAGGCTGAAAAGTGCGTTTTTTTTTCTTTACACACACATATATATATATATATATATATATATATATATATATATATATATATATATATATATATATATATATATATATATATATTATATATATATATACATATATATAGATCCAAATTGAAAATTTACAAAAATCCAACAAATTGACAATTTATTTATATATATATATATATATATATATATATATATATATATATATATATATATATATATATATATATATATATATATATATAATATATATATTAGTATATTTTGGTAGCAGTCTTTCCTGTAGACATATATTATTAAATATGACCGAAAAAGTAAGATTAATAATTCTAACACGAATTTTCTCAATCTTTCGTACATTTCTTTTCACTGTTGGAGGTAATTCAAAAATCAATTCTCCAAAATTCATTTTTATTTCTAGTCTGACGCGACACTTGAGCGCGTTTCGTAAAACTTATTACATTTTCAAAGACTTTACACATACACAACTGAATAGAACTTACATATCTCCGATTTGTTTATATCTACTTTTGAGTGAGGTGGATGGGGGTAGGTGGTATTTAATAGGGTATTAATTTCATCAACACAAGACAGAACACGAAACAATGGGTATTGAAATGGAAGTGATTTGTAGAAAGCCTATTGGTCCATATTTCTTGATGCTTCTATATTGAAGCGGAGTCTTGAGGTGGGTAGAATATAGTTGTGCATTAATTGGCTGTTGATTGCTGGTGTTAACTTCTTAATGTGCAGGGCCTCGCAAACGTCAAGCCGTCTGCTATCGCTGTATCTATCGATGATTTCTGTGTTTTTTACTAGGATTTCTCTGGCGATGGTTTGGTTGTGGGAAGAGATTATATGTTCCTTAATGGAGCCCTGTTGCTTATGCATCGTTAAACGCCTAAGCTGCCCTTTCTAGATGTAACAGTCATGGAAAAGAGCGGAGGTTTCCACACTGTAGTCTACACTAAGGAAACGAACATAGGAATGTGCCTAAATGCCAACAGCGACTGCCCAGACAGGTACAAGAGGAGTGTTGTTAACGCATATGTCGACCGTGCTCTCAGCCACAGCTCAGAATGGAAGCAAGTCGACGAAGAACTCTGTAGGGTAAGGCAGGTCCTAGTCAACAACGGCTTCTCCAATGGTTTCGTCGAAGACATCATAAGAAGGAAAGTGAAACGCCATGCAACCTCTGAATAGACAACCAACACAACACCTATACCTCCTATTAGACTATTTTACAGGAACTTCTTTTCCACAGCTCATAAAACGGAGGAAAGGGTCCTGAAAGATATTGTTAATAGAAACGTTATCCCTACAGACAAAAATCAGAGGATACAACTGACGATTTACTATAAAACCAGAAAAACGGCCAACCTACTCATGAGAAACTCTCCAGACACAAAGCAGAACGCTTTAAAAGAGACCAACGTCGTCTATGCCTTCAAATGCCCACTTGGGGACTGTAAGCTCCAAAAAAAACAGTATATAGGCAAGACAACAACATCTCTTTCTAGGCGTTTAACGATGCATAAGCAACAGGGCTCCATTAAAGAACATATAATCTCTTCCCACAACCAAACCATCGCCAGAGAAATCCTAGTAAAAAACACAGAAATCATCGATAGATACAGCGATAGCAGACGGCTTGACGTTTGCGAGGCCCTGCACATTAAGAAGTCAACACCAGCAATCAACAGCCAATTAATGCACAACTATATTCTACCCACCTCAAGACTCCACTCCAATATAGAAGCATCAAGAAATATGGACCAATAGGTTTTCTACAAATCACTTCCATTTCAATACCCATTGTTTCGTGTTCTGTCTTGTGTTGATGAAATTAATACCCTATTAAATACCACCTTACCCCATCCACCTCACTCAAAAGTAGATATAAACAAATCGGAGATATGTAAGTTCTATTCAGTTGTGTATGTGTAAAGTCTTTGAAAATGTAATAAGTTTTACGAAACGCGCTCAAGTGTCGCGTCAGACTAGAAATAAAAATGAATTTTGGAGAATTGATTTTTGAATTACCTCCAACAGTGAAAAGAAATGTACGAAAGATTGAGAAAATTCGTGTTAGAATTATTAATCTTACTTTTTCGGTCATATTTAATAATATATATATATATATATATATATATATATATATATATATATATATATATATATATATATATATATATATATATATATATATATATATATATATATATAGGGGGGTACCACCTCTGGTGCAATTATAGGGACCCACAGCCTCAGAGAAGGGAACACAGAGCATTCAGGGAAAAACTTGCCATTTAACTCTGAATACGTAAGAGTGTTCGCTTCTCCTACCACCCCCTTTTTTTATGGTGTACACTTTATTATGCAAGGTTATACAGTTACATATCTGATTTTATACACAAAATTAACATTAAGAGGACACAAAAAAAAGTTCGCTTCCTAGAGTCTGTAGATTTCCTCGAACTCCTCCGACGCCGGGCAGGAACCGAGGATGCACCGAGCATTCCCCCTCTGGATCGCGACACTGAGGCGCTGAAAGAGAAAACTTGCTGCTCTAGGGTCTCTTGTGGTGTCAATGAGCTTGGAACCAAGATCCTTAAGAAACCTTCTTGCACTCTCTCCCCATGGGCCTAGGGTCTCAGACCCTATTGGAACGAAGTTGTACCGATGATCTAATTGCCTGTACTTGGCTGACTTGTCTCTTTCTCTGCGTGTCGACGCGGCTCCTGCTGTGCCGGCAGAGAGGTTGATGTATGTGGTTGCCAGGGTGGATACACAAGTATAGTCCCATGCCAAATGTCTGCCACCCTTCCACGGTCGCAGTGTGATTCTGTCTGGTCGGCCGGCAAAGCTAACAGAGTCACGGTTCAGTAGGTTGCGGGGCTCTCTCCGCTGGACACTGAGCAGAGGCAAGGCTTCTTTTAATGATGTCATTGACTTCGTCGTGTCTAGTGTGCAAGGTATATATATATACCTTGATTATTAAATTATTAAATATGACCGAAAAAGTAAGATTAATAATTCTAACACGAATTTTCTCAATATTTCTTATATTTCTTTTCACTGTCGATGGTAATTGAAAAATCAATTCTCCAAAATTCATTTTTATTTCTAGTCTGACGCGACACTTGAACGCGTTTCGTAATAACTTATTACATTTTCAAAGACTTTAGTTTACACACACACAACTATAACCTGCAAACACTAAACAGAGTTCTACTATGCTATAATTTAAACGGCTTTCATTTTATATGCCTGCATTTGGGTGAGGTGATATGTTACAACAGTTTTGGATGAGGTGAAAACATACTTTCAACACAAGACAGAACACGAAACAATGGGTATAATATTGGGTAAGTTAAAGGGAAGAATGGAAGTAACTGCAGAGGGCCTATTGGCCCATATTTCTTGATGCTTCTATATTGGTGCGGAGTCTTGAAGTGGGTGGAATATAGTTGTGCATTAATTGGCTGTTGATTGCTGGTGTTGACTTCTTGATGTGTAGTGCCTCGCAGATATCAAGCCGCCTGCTATTGCTGTATCTATCGATGATTTCTGAGTTTTTTGTTAAGACTTCTCTGGTGATGGCCTGGTTGTGGGAAGAGATTATATGTTCCTTAATGGAGTCCTGTTGCTTATGCATCGTTAATCGCCTGGAAAGAGATGTTGTTGTCTTGCCTATATACTGAGTTCTTTGAGGCTTACAGTCCCCAAGTGGGCATTTGAAGGCATAGACGACATTGGTCTCTTTTAAAGCTTTCTGCTTTGTGTCTGGAGAGTTTCTCATGAGTAGTTTGGCCGTTTTTTTTGGTTTTATAGTAAATTGTCAATTGTATCTTCTGATTTTTGTCTGTAGGGATAACGTTCCTATTAACAATATTTTCAGGACCCTTTCCTCCGTTTTATGAGCTGTGGAAAAGAAGTTCCTATAAAATAGTCTAATAGGGGGTATAGGTGTTGTGTTAGTTGTCTCTTCAGAGGTTGCATGGCGTTTCACCTTCCTACTTATGATGTCTTCAACGAAACCATTGGAGAAGCCGTTGTTGACTAGGATCTGCCTTACCCTACAGAGCTCTTCATCGACTTGCTTCCATCCTGAGCTGTGGCTGAGAGCATGGTCGACATAAGCGTTAACGACACTCCTCTTTTACCTGTCTGGGCAGTCACTGTTGGCATTGAGGCACATTCCTATGTTAGTTTCCTTAGTGTAGACTGCAGTGTGGAAACCTCCGCTCCTTTCCATGACTATTACATCTAGAAAGGACAGCTTCCCATCCTTCTCCATCTCGTAAGTGAAACGCAACACAGAATTCCGCTCAAATACCTCCTTCAGCTCCTGCAGATGTCTAACATCACGTACCTGTGTAAAAATG